CCCTTTTCGAGATATGAAGCGTCAAAGATTTCGCATTCTTGCCCCTTGTGACCCCTAATTACGTAACGTATGACCAAAATATTATAATATAGTGTTGCAAATTGTTAATATGAACAACTTTGCTTCTGTAATGTATCACAAAATATTGATCATTAAAGAGTTAAAGATGAAAGACTTCTGGCCCCTCTGAGCCCCTAATTTGAGGAGTCAGCCCCTTTTTCTTGATATCAAACGAAAGGTCTTGTGATTTCAAAGACTTTTTGTTGTACAACTACTCAGAGATTTCTTTTCGTTTAGAAGATATGCTTAATATAAATATTTAGGGGCCACCCCTACAAGTCCTTAATGGGGCCATTTTACAGAAATTCAAAGTATGCATATTGTTTAGATCATTATTCTGACCAACTTTTGTTCAATATTGCTTATCAAAATATTCCCTCTTTTCAAGACATGAAGTGTCAAAGATTTAGCATTCTGGCCCCTTGTGACCCCTTATTACGTAAGATATACTTAAAAGTTGAAAATATGTTTTTGTAAATAGTCTAAAATTAATAAAAATCGAAAAATCGAGCAGAAAAAGTGATAAAATTTTTTGGTCACAAGCGGGATCGAACCCGGGTCGCCCGCGTGACAATCCAACGCGCTAACCATTCGACCATCGGGATCGCCGCTTCGCGTTTTCAAATGCAAATATCTCGAGATTGGCTCGGTCGATTTTCAAACAAATTACATATTTGGATTCAGAAAAGGGGTCTTTATTCAATTCTAATACAAAAATATTAAAAAAGAAAAGTTAAAAAATTGCGTTTTTTTAAATTCGCTTCCGGTTTCGACCGGAAGTATTGACGACGCACGAAAAGGCAATTCTGCAACGCTATAAATCATGAACTATCATCTCCAATTTATCTTAGCTTCATATCTTAAGCAGTTTTCGCTAAGTAATCAAGACAAAATTGCATTTTAAAATCAGAAAATTGTCCATATCTCAGACCGGAAATGACGTCATCGACGAAAAAAATTTCCAATAAGGTTCAGATTAGTACCTATCAGATGTGAAAGTTTCATGAGAATCAATCTAATAGTTTACGAGAAATCGCGTGCACAAAATCGGTAAGAAAAATAATAATAATAATAATAGGGAAAAAGAAACCGAAGAATAACAAGAAGGTCTTCCGTTGGAGACGGAAGACCTTAATAATAGGGAAAAAGAAACCGAACGAAAACAATAAGGTCTTCCGTTGGAGACGGAAGACCTTAACTAGAAACTCTTGTTGCTACAGCAACAAATAAGGTCTTCCGTTCTTCTCTATTTATCTGTAAGAAGAATATTTTTCTATTTAAGAAAAAAAACAGACAAATAAAAAATAGACAAAATGCAAAAAAAAAAAAAAAAAGATTCCTCCAGCTGGGCTCGATCCCAAACCCAATAGTATGAAAGTCAGACACGCTAACCACCGAGCCACCAAATTCCACAACAGTAACGATATTTTGTAAGCTTATCATTTTAAGGTTGAAGGAAATAGTTTCGAAATTAAAGAAATAGTTTCGTAGTAAAGTTCCGGTCAAATTTCTTAAAAAACTTAGATATTCCCTGTTTGATGTGATATTGTATGTAGGAAAATGATCAGAATAATTATGGGACACATTTGCAGTGAAGCAATGACACTTAGCATATACAGAGTTGTAAAAGCGAAAGTAATACACGTGGTCAGTTGCAGAGGAAATTCAAAATCCCGGAAAAACAGTGAGTGAGTCATGGGCATTTTTTCAACACCATATTGTATCAAGCGGGGTAACTGCAATTGATTTAACCTATCTAAATTGCGTGGAAATTTAATTGATATGAAAAATCGCCATTTCCAAGATTCGATCGATTCATATTTTAATCTAAATAGAATTGAAATAAATTCCATACACCCAAGAAAGCAAGAATACTTGGTATTAAAATGTCGTAATAGAGCAGAAGAATCGAATGATATTAACAACAATTGAAGAAATAGCCGATGCGAGCTTTAATTAATTTGATTAATGTTTATGCTCAGCAATAACTAAATTTCAGACAGAAAAAAATGCAGATTTTGCCAATATTCACTACAACTTCATTTTAGTTTAGAGACTCACCTTAAAAGTCCAGGACACTTTCTTTCAGGTCTCTTCTTGCTTTTATTCCGAATCTTGTGTCCATATTTCGTGCCGTTTGGCTTAAAGACATTTTCTCTATGTGCTGTTGATTGTTTGTTGTTGTTTTTTTTTTAAAAGGAAGGGGATATTCTATAAGCATTTGTTAGAGTAAGAGTTACAAATACCTCCACCACCTTAAGCTTGATCGTGACCTTTGGGGTCAAAGTACAAGGTCATTTATCAAGGTCAAAGGTCAAGGTCATCAAAGAGAGAGAGAGAGAAAGAGAGAGAGAGGGAGAGAGGGAAACTTGAGATAAACACTTGAAGCTGAATCTAGATAAAGGTAATGAATATTTCTTTATTACTTTTTGAGTAAGGGTCATTTTGAGGTTTCTTTAGACATTTGCAGTCTGAATAACATGTCCCAAAATCATTTCAAATACTCTTTTTATAAAAGATATTTATGGGATAGTTAGAAACTCAATTTATGCAGTTTTTCTCTCATAACCGGAAGTCGTCGTTTTTGTTTCCAATGGGACTGACATATTTCGAAACAACTAGTAAGATGCTATAAGGTAATACTAAAAAAGATTCCGTAAAGAAAAGTTAAAAATTTTGATTTATTTGATCACTTCCTGTGACAACCGGAAGTGACTGCAGACGATTTTAAACTCAAAGGATTTGTCTACTCATCAAGGTATACCATGCCTATTAGTTTGGTGACTTAATCTCTTACCGTTAACGAGATCTAGCAATGATAACTTCTGATTTTGAGGACAGGAAGTCACGCGACCGGAAGTGAATTTTACTGAGATATTAGACACTACTATAGACATTTGCAGTGTGAATAATATATCCAAAAATCATTACAAATACTTTAACTATAAGAAATATTTATGGGAAAGAAAATTATGTACTTTTTCTCTTTTAACCGGAAGTTGACGTTTTTGTTTCCGTTGGGACTGATACATTTCGAAACTACAAATAAGATGCTATAATGTTATGCAAAAAAAGTTTCATAAAAGAAGACTTGAAATTTTCGATTTCTTTGATCACTTCCTGTGACGACCGGAAGTGACGGCGGACGATCTTTGTCTAACGGGTTTTGCCTACTCATTACGATATATCACTTGTTTAAGTTTGGTGTCTTAATCTCTCAACATTTACTGTATCTAGCTATGATAACTTCTCATTTTGAGGACAGGAAATCACGCGGCCGGAATTGAATTTTACAAAGATATTTGACGTTACTGTAGACAGTTGCAGTTTGAATAACTTTTGAAAAAATCATTACAAATGCTTTATCTATAAAAAATATTTATGGGAAAGAAAAATACTGAAAATATGCAGTTTTTCTCTTAAAACCGGAAGTTGTCGTTTTTGTTTCCAGTGGGACTGACATATTTCGGAAGTACAAAGAAGATACTATTTTGTGCTGCAAAAAAAGTTTAAAAAAAGAAAAGTTGAAATTTTCGATTTCTTTGATCACTTCCTGTGACGACCGGAAGTGACAGCGGACTGTGTTAACCCAAATGGACTTGCCTACTTATCAAGATCTATTACTCACATAAGTTTGGTGTCTTCATCTTTTACCGTTTCTCAGATATGACTCGGACAAATTTTTTTTAAAAAAGCGGAAATCGGACATATCTGACGACCGGAAGTAAATTTTGAAAAACTGAAGAAGTTTTTTTAAGCGTATTTTTATTCTCTATCAACCTGAAATTTTCAAGAAAATTCGTCCAGTCATTTCTGAGAAATCGCTCCGAGAAGAAAAGGGAACAAAAATAATAAAAAGAAGAAGAAACAGTAGAATCACTATAAGGTCTTCCGTCTGAAACGGAAGACCTTAACTAGATGCGTTCTTGTTGCTAAAGCAACAAGCGGTCTTCCGACCGACTTTTCGTAAGAGTTCTATGCTGCGTCATCCCATGAAATAGATTTCAGAATGTATTTTTTTGTTTACGTTTATTCACAGCAGTCTCTCAACATACATCATGATAATTACAGGTATTCCTCAAAATATCTCAGAAAATAGCTTTTAAAAATCGGCAAAATATTCCATACGTGTTATAAATGAGATAAAAGTCATTTGCAACTGAAAAAAGACATAACCAAAGAGATATTTTTAAGACGCCTCCGGCGGGATTCGAACCCTCGACAGTAGGACAAAGTTTAGTTCGGTCATATCTTCTCAATATATGCACGCATCAAGATACTGAACATATATTTAGAGTTCTCATACGACACTCTATTAACCCCGTAAATCCTAAAGAAAAATATCAAAAAACAAAAAAGTTGAAAAATGGGACTTTTTGAACTCACTTCCGTTTGCGACCGGAAGTGCCGACAACGAAAAATAAAGGTCGTTCACCATAACGGAGTTCGATGTTCTATCACCTCAGTAAGTTTCACTTTGATATCTTAAGCCGTTCTCGAGAAAACTTCTGGACAAAATGCCATTTTAAAAATACAAAAATCGCGAACAAAAGTGAATTTTGAAAATATGAAAAACACGTCTGGAGATATTCACATAATGCACTATCCCTGTAAAAATCTTTGAAATCCGTTCACGCATAGCTGAGATATCGGCTGTACTATGAAGAAAGAATAATAATAATAATAATAGAAAACAGAAGAAAAACAATAAGGTCTTCCGAAGGAAGTCGGAAGACCTTAATAAGAAACAGAGTAAAAACAATATGTTCCCCAACTTCGTTTGGGGAACATAATAAATCAAATAAAAATGGCAATAAGTTTTCCCCTTGTCTTACCCCTATTTTGCATGGAAATATTCAGTAACAACGATTTACTTTCAGAGTACATTTTCACTATTACATCAATACATTTTCCAGTAATATTATTTTGAATAAGTTTTTGCCATAGTTCGATTCTCCATACATTCTCAAAATCAGCCTTAAAACTATAAATGCACAATACATGTATACTGTATACCGGTAAAATTTTGCCTCCGTTTCATTTTCGTCCCTTTCGCCCAACCCTCTTTATGTTTAAACCAAATTGTGTCTAACGATTCATTGGTTATAACAATGTTCAACTATTCTGCACTACTAAAATAACTTATAATGTTTATAAAACCCAAAAATACATCGTCTACAAGAAATAAAACACGAAGAGAAATATGATACAGTGTTTTTTTTAATTGAACAGATGTAACAACATCACATTTTAAATCAAACACTTTAAACTATGAAGGATATTTTAAATTTATTTTTACTTCCTTATTGTTTCCTTACTTGGGTAGTTTTTAATAATAGACATAAGACACAATACATAGGGCATTTATATTTTTTGAGAAAAAGATATCAAAAATTATTCGCCAGTTTTTGTTTCTGGTCTATTCTTATACAGCATCTGTAGCTTGGAAATCGCATGGGAATCGTGCGTCATAATAACTGTCCAGTGTATTCACTATGGTTGTGAAGGTCGGTCTCTCTTCTGGATTAATGGCCCAACAACTTTCCATCAGCGTCCCATGTCTGTAAATTTCAATAAATATGGTATGCGAGTCTTTCTCCAGGATTTTTTTTTTATTTTACAACGGAAGCATCTATTGGATATATAAAATAAATGACTGCCTTTGTACTTACGTTTCAGGGCAGAATTCTGGAACACTCATTCGGTAGCCACTTTTAACTTTCATAGGAACAATTTTGCCATCAATACCTGGGTAAGGATTTTGTCCTGTACATGAAAAACCGAAACAAAATTATAGTAAATACACTGTGAAATTAGGTATTAGAGTGTATTAATGATATTTTACCGACAAAGCTCACCAGTACTGAATGTCTCCCAGATGACAACCCCGAACGCCCAAACATCACTCATTGAAGTACAACCCTTCATGGATTCATAACACTCGGGGGCTAGCCACTTAATTGGTTTTCTTTCCTGTAGGTCAAGTTTATGACAAGAAATCACATTTTTTAAAATTCAAAATACGAATTTGTCGCAATTATGAGAAATTCTTTGTTTTTCTTAAGACTATTTCCATTTAACAGTTAAAAAGCACAAACCCTTCAATCAAATAATTTCATTTTCCCAGAAGTTTTACTAGGTGAAGACCACATCTGTACGTCAGGTGTTTTACAACAGAATCACGATATGACAATAAAAATATGAACCTACCCTGGCTTCTTTTTTCTTCACTTCGTTCTCCCCCTCCTCCGGCGTGGGTCCAAAGCCTGCTACTTTAGGAACAAGACGAGAAGTCAGAAAAACATTTCTTGTTGCCAATCTCTTGTGAACAATCTAAAATATATGAATGAAGCAATGTATAGCTCAAGACCAGGCCACATATTTATTTACGCCAAAAAGTTGAGATCTCAAGTACTAGTGCACTATATAAACCTACTTGAAACAAAATAAAAATAATTTTTTTAAATAACAGTTTAACACTAATACTTAGTATACGATATGAAGAATCAAAGACCTGACGCTTTTTCTATACACACCCCTTTGATTGCTAAGGCCTCCATTCCTTTAGCGATACCCTGAATCATCTTACAGAAGTCGGTGATCAGGTCATCGTTCACTTTATTTCTCTGATCGATCAACCACTCCCTCATTTGACCAAGTTCACAGTACTCCAGCAACATGTACGGACCGACTATTTTAGGGAGATTGAAATATGATAGTGTTTTTAAACATTATTGTATATGATGCTAAAATAAGATGCATAGGAAAGGTTTTCCAATCAACTCTCCATTCTGTTATTAATTGTATACATCTAACTACAATTCATGTTTTAGTAAGTTTTTAAAACGAATTGTCGACAGATTTTTTTACGTTGTTTCCCGATCATGACAAGGAACACGCTGCGAGTTTGACCGGTCGGCAGGGGATGCTAACTCCTCCATGGTACTTGATCCCACCTTTCATGTTTAAAGAGGTCCGTGCTTGTTTGCTCCAAAATACGTCCGTGTTTGCTCTGCTCCAAAATTGTCATTGTTTGATGGATTTTTGAGCTTTAAAATACTGTTCGTTATCTCCATGTCTTTTATAAAACAGCTATTTTGGAGACTCTAAAATACTTGCAAGCAAATGATATTATGCATGATATTAGAATCATCTTATGTTCTTTCCAATTAGTTTTGAAAAGATTCGCTTTGCCAATAATTTGATTTTTTACAACTTAATAAAAAATCAGATAATGACGTCAATGTAACTGTACGATTAGGATGTTGTAATGATACCTTAAGAGACTTTAAATGCAGATAAAAGAAACAAATATGAAAAATATCAGCAGATCTTTAGTATACAAATGAAATGGAAGTTTTCTTAGCGAAGTCTTTTTGATCGAGTCCACAGGTAGCACAAAACATACGAACAAACTGCTGTTGTAATAGTGAAAGACGCTGTCACTATCGATATAAGATTGTGTATCAGCTGAATGATGGTGAGGATAATGTCCGTAACTTTGCTAATAAATCTTCAGAAGATCGCATGTGTGTGCCAGATTGGTTCCTCAACCGTTTTTGGAGACTCAGGTATGTGAATAAATGGAATTTCTAAATTTAATTGGGACATATTCAACTTTATTTTAAGCAAAGATGAAACGCGCTGTTTTAGACACTTTGATGTCATCATCCGTGCGCCGTAGGGCGATACAATACATAACATAAAATCTAATAATTTGTTTATGTATGCATGTATATATCTGAAATTTGCTCTGTATATTCATAATATATGTACTAAAGAGTAGTGAAAATTTCAGAACACTGTGATGATTATTTTTCAAACTAGACAAATTGTCCATGATTTCACCGGAAAGCCCGTGTAAATGTAAATATACTTACAAAGTGGATGGTTGAGCACAGAACCCAAGAATGTAATGATGTTATCATGAGGGGGAACCTCGGTGGCAAAAAAGCTGATCTTGGCCTGTAGAACGAGGCGGTCCTCTTCTGTGTAGTCCTCTGTAATGATAGTCATCAATAATGAAAGTGTTCGGTTAAATATACTGACAATATCAGTAAAAGTGTGAGTTCTGTGTCTTTGAAATACAAAATCAGGGATTTATTTTAATAAACAGTAATGGACTTCTTTGTTTTCTTCTGAATAATAATGCTACCATACCAATACAATATACAATTTTTTTAATAAATGCAAAGATTTTTCAAATTCTGAATTTAAAATTCATCAAATACATGTATTTATCTATTTCTACACTTAAAAATCTGAGAACCTAAACTTTTTGTTAGTTACTTTACAATGTAGTTTTATTTTGTTTATCATGTACTGCTTCAACAAACATCTGAGAATGCATTTCATATTGAATGATATATAAGTACCTTTTAATATTTTGGCGATCACGGTATCTTTTTTACAGAGTTGAGCTAGATAGATGTCAGCAAAATCTCCCGATTTCAGTTTCCCCTTTAGCTGTATATCATCAAATGTGTACAGCCAGCCTTCATTCGCAGAGAAGACCATTTTCCCAAAATCATAAATGTCCTCGTCTTGGAAACGCCCACTGTAAACTCCAGTCTTAAAGAAAAAATTAAAGTATCTCTGTTTATAAGCAGTCTGTGTAGGTGCATTTCATTGGTATTCATTGGTAATCAGTTTAAACCTCACCACTTTACCTTAACCATATTTTACCTTTCATTGCTAACTTTCCAGTCTATCTCAAAGATTAACTTATCATTTTTTTTTTACCTTTGTTCTCATCGTTATCACTTGATTATAAGAATAACTCACGGAAAATACATATACAAATACATGTAGACATACCCTTCGTTTTCCCATCAGTAAGGTAACTGGTCTCTTGAGGTACATGGTAAGTCTTCGTTTTGTTTCGGGATTTAAATGCCCATTTTTCCAGAGAAGAAAAAATATCAGAAGAATCCCCAGCAGGATGGTGATTACTACAAAACACAATATATTTTATGGATAGATTATGAATTGTACCATTTGATGGGTGTATAGTTTTGGAAGATAGTATGGGCCTGTTACATTCTTGGACGGCTTACCTGCACTGACTCCGGCAATCATAGCTATGGGTATGACAGTTGGTGATGTAAATCTTAAGGTTTTTACAATGGCTTCTGAATTCCCTGTGTTGTTTGAAATCACTTCAATACAGTACTCTTTGCCTGCTTCAAGATTGTTCAAAAAATATTCCGTTTTATCTATTGGTAGGGTAATCTCCTTAGGGGGTCTCGACTTATCACAATCGGTGTAAATAAAAATAGTGACGTCGGAGACTTTGTAACATGACGGGACATTTTCCCACGTAAATCTGACTCCGTCTCCGTAACTCTCTCTTTGAAGATTTTTTACTCCAATACCTGTAGAAAAGAATAATTAATACATTAGGGATTCATTCTCCTAAAGAGTAAAATAAAGGGAAAATGAATAATGTATCCATGAAAACATTTGTGTCATACGTATGTTGGTCAAAAAATAAGATTGCTATATCACCCAGATTTTTTAATTGTTGGGTTGCGATATACAAGTGCTTAGAAATGCACTTAATAAGTTACGCAAAGAAATGTTTTAATATCTGGTCAGTTAAACTTTCTTTTCAAATTTCGATACGCAAGAGCATGCTCTATGTATGAACAATTTCTAAAACGAGGTAGATTATTGACAAGCAATTTAATGAAACAAGAATATCAGCTGTCTCGTTTAAAGTCATCATTTCGTAAGTTCTCGTAATGACCTTGTCAAATGCTGTCTGACTTTTTTCAAACTAATTTTTATATTATTTATACACTGAATTGACGACGAATTTTCCTGTTGTTTCCCGATCATGACAAGGAGCGCACTGCTGGTGTGACCGGTCGGCAGGGCTTGCACACTCTTCCATGGCACTTAATCTCACCTCTGATGTTTTTTAGGTCCGTGTTTGCTCTGTTCCTATTTTGTATTGTTTTACGGACTTTTGATCTTGCATGCTGTTCGTTATCGCCATATGTTTCATAATAAAGAATAAGTCAACTTTGTGTTCGTGATCGAAATAAAAAGATAATTTGTACTCAGATCAGAGAAGTATTCTCACCGGCGTCTATTCCATCAAACAATGTCAAACTGGAAAGCTAAAAATGAAAATATTTTTGACTTAAGAGACACATAGTACGGGTCATTTTGTTGTAAGTTGCTGTGATTCAGAACATGAAAAAGAATACAATTTTAATGGCAGAATTTTAAAGTCTTAAACAAGCTCGGAACCTCATGAAGTGTAACATTGGACGATATCATGGCCTGGTTGAAAGCCTCGATTTCCAGAATAAAGGTAACATTAGACAACTGTTGTTTTTCAATAGCCAGCCAACAATTGTCAAAGTCGAATTTCATATTCTTTTTGTAGCATTCACCCATGGGAATACAGTAACATTCATCAGTTGATAAACAGTCAGCCAACTGAAAATATATTCACCACAGAATAGCTGTACATTTTTGTTACAATGTTCTATGCATTCCAAAAGTAAAACCTCTAATACGTATGGGAATTTATCAAATATATAATATTCAAACCTGAATGGGATTGTTCATGAAAAAACCTTCTTTGTGTATCTGTTGTTGTTTGTTCTTCACCATCAGTCGCCAATGCACATGTCGGACACCGCTATGCTCATCAGAAGCTTGTACAGAAACCCTGTGGAACAACCACATGACACCGAAACTTTTAAAATTTCTATCTGTTATACAAATAAATTAAAATACGAAGATTTATACATTGTTTTATTGTTTTTTACCTGCTCGAATATTCATGCGTTCCATTTCCAACATTTTTTGTGAATATCGCTTCGCTTGAATAAGGGGGCGAACTGTCCATGCTAACTAGTCTGGAATCAGTTCTAGTGTTGTTGACTAGATCACGAGCTCTAACAGTTATATTTATACTGTCACCGTCTTTCCATTCGTGTTTCAGAACATATGTGCCTTGAACAATGTTTCTAATTTTTATCCATTGGTTTTCCATGTTGCCATGATCTGTTTCAGACAGGCAAGGTAGCTTTGTTGTCATAGAGTTTGTTGTAGGTATAGTGAAAGAAGAAGCTGTAACATTATCGTTATTGGGTTCTGATGTTGTTGTGTTTGCGTCCACTGAAGTATCAAGTATATTAGCTGTAGTGATTAGGTCTTTCGAAGTTCTTGTTTCTGTGGTCGCATCTTCTGAGTCATTGGTCGATGAGTTTGAATATGAGATGTACGTGTAGTAGACTTCAAATTCAGTTATTCCATGCAGATTTTTAACGGCGAGAAGGCTTCTTTTCCCAGTATGGTCATCATAAATGTCTTTAACATCTTTTACTATTTCACTCTTTAGTTCGTCCACGTCACCACCTCTTATCTGCAATGGGAATTTTTCGACAGACAATAACAAGTGGTTTTCAACATGATACAAGTTTCTGAAGTAGTCTCTCCATTTGATTTCCACTGTTGAACACTTTGATTGCCAGCTGTAATTGCTGAGTTTTTCTGCACTGGACACGTACAAGTTAGATTCTGCAGTTGTGGTGATTGTAGAATTAGGGTCATATATAGCAATCTGTCTTGCAAACTCCGAGTTGTTAGCTTTATCTGTGACTTGTAAAATTGCTGAATAAATTCCTGGTTCTGATGGAGTAAAATCTGAGAAGGGTAGACTAGAAATGTTCCTTTCTTCTCGATAGAACGGATCCATTGGTGCTTCCTCTGTTAATGTATCAGAATGGAGGTTTTTCTTTAGTTTATGAATTTCTAGGAAGTATGTCTCCACACCCGAAGGAATGTCATCCCATCCATCAACATGGAATGTGAATGGATCCTAATGAAATATACAGGTTTCTTGCTAGTCGTAGGTGTTTTATATTATAAATGTATAATGTGTACAATATTGTTAGATTCTCTATGACCGCTGGAAACTTTTTTACAAATAAAAAAAATCAAGAAATGAGTGGATTTTACACGTAATACTGTTAAGATTATTTGTATGAACCTACATATTGAATATATAAAACTTTTTACCATGGATAAGGATTCATTAAATGTGTACTTGTACTAAATGTTTTGAAACTAATAATAATTGACTTACCTTGGTAGCATCGTTTGGAATTCTCAATGGTAACAGGTCGGGAAAAGTACAGTTACGTGATTCAGAACAATGTTTAGGTTTAGTGAAGTCAAACAGAAAGTCTATAGATTGCTGAGATTTTACTCGATCATATAGCTCCTTTCTGACAAAATGTGTGTTGTTCCACAGATCTCTGAAGCCCCCTATCTCTGTCAACGCCTGTATTGTTAATCTAAAATTATCCAATCAAAAATGTAGGTATTCCTTTAGGAAGGCATGTCGCATAATACTCTAGATAGTTAAAAAAGAACGTGTGTTAACTTACTTATCTCCGTCCTCTAGTATCCTGTTGAATTGATCGTATGAAATGTTACATTTTAGCGGCTGATTGAATGGTGAAGTATCATTAAAATCACCGGGACAGGATAAGGTCTCATTTAGACTAAGATCAATCGTTCCGCCTACAAAATATGATTCTAGTTAAACGTCAATGTATATACTTCAAGAAAAACATTGATGTATAACACTGATAATGAACTATATACTATCGAGACCTATATACATAGACCTAAAACGAATTTAGGTCTATGCTATATATTAAGTTATACTGTAATAGCACCAACCATTGCAAGGGATTAAGAATTATAAAACGTCAAAATATAAACTTTATTTAAAGAAACATTAAATTAAGAATTCTCATGAATATTCAAATTAAAATGATTTCAAATGGTAAGTACCACCCGCTCGGCCTTTTTTGGCAAGGATGACTCTTGCATTTGCAGATACGATTCCAATGCTATGATTGTGAATGTAAGATGGCGGAAAGGGGATGATGGGATTGTAAAGGGCATCGAAGTAAATCAAGAAGAAGTTGTAGTCCTTCCTGTCCACCCATACTGACTGAAAGGAGCTGAAGCCGTCTGCATTGAATTTGTATAATACTTGATTGTCAGTTCTCTTTACATTCAATAATGTTGCATTCAGGTTGGTAAAATTAACTTGATGGGTAGAATCAACTGAAAGAAGAAAAACATTACAGATATAGAATTTATTGCTTTGTCAATCTTTTATAACTAACTTTATAATTAGAAAGAAATGTTACTTTGAAGGCAGGATTCCCCTCCAAATCCAGGATCACATAAACAGGAAGTATTGGTGCAGTTACCCGGATAACAGGGCTTCAGATGGGAACAGGTAACGACTGAAAGTTAACAAAATATATCAGTAATATTACAATGATATACAATTATTGCCTTTTGATGAGGTCAATCCCTCAATATATAGACCTTAGAGAAAGCATATCGACCGAGCACGAAGTCAAAGGTCAAATCCTTCTTTCTAACACTCAGTACCTTCTCATTCAAGGTATTGTTATGTCATTTGCATTACGACGCCACAAAAAACCAGCTGCAATATCTGTTTTTAGAAACATCCAGTTTATAAAGAATATTGTGGCGTCAGTACTATTGTTGCTTCACAGAAGAACGTTTCCAAGTTTAGAAACAGCAGGTTTATAAATTTTTTTCTGTAACACTTTTTATACTTGGTCATTTGATCCAGTTTGAGCCAATCAGATAGTTGGAACAATAAAGAAAAATAATAATAAAATTTGTAGTATTCTCGATAGAAACAATAAACAACAAATAAGAAAACAAACAAGCGAACGATAAGCACGCAAAAAGAAACCAACTAAAATAACTCTATGAAAAAACTAACTTTTAAATCTATATGAGCTGGTTGCATTCCATTTGCTTTCTTGGAGTTGTGGGAGTTGTGTATTTGTGGTTAATAGCTCAGTTATTTGTTAAACTTATTCATATTGCATAACTTATCTTTTGAATAATAATGATAATGAATACTGAGTAATAATAAAAAGAAAATACCTTCTTCGCACGTCGTTCCACCCACTATATCGGGGCACTGGCACGTATTGGGAGACACACACTTTCCTCCATTTTGACAAGTGGGGTTGCAAATTGCTGTAAAATAATCCTTGCATATATATAAAAAAAAGCTGTATATACAAATTTATACAATTTTTTTGAAAGAGTCTACTTTTATCCTTACGCGTTTGACAGTCACTGCCGATGTATCCTGGACAACATATTTCAATTGACCTGTAATTTGTAAGACGTCGGTATCCACTTGAAGTGCTGCAAAGAACAATAATAAAAGTACAATAATAAAATTGATTCGATTACAATTAGGTAAGCCTTCTTCTTAATAAATATAAAATATTGGGATAAATACTCAATTCTAAATTTATAGCAGAAATATAGAGAGGACTTGCATATAAAGACTGACCTCCTTAGTGTCAAATTTCTTTTCGTGTCGTTAAATTAAATTTAGCTTATTGATATTGTTGAAAGAAGTATTTCTCTCCCCCCCCCCCCTCTTTCTATCTCTTTGTGGCCGAATGGGTTGGGTTGTAATTGTGAGTTTATTAATCTATCACTTACCACCACCACAAAAACGTTGAGGCACAGTACTGTTCTCTCTCTCTCTTTCTCTGTTTAAGTGGGAGGGGTGTGAGAAGGTGTTTTAAGTAAGCTATCACTTACCTCCCCAGCATAAACCTTGAGAGACAGTACTGAACTCGCTCTCCCCCTCTCTCTCTCTCTCTCTCTCTCTGTGCGTTTGTGTGGAGGGTGGGAGTGGGAGGTGTGTTCCCATTTCGCCTTAACTGTGAGTGGGAAGGTGTTTTAGGTAATTAAGTTATCACTTACCACCACCACATAAACGTTTTGGCACAGTACTGTTGTGAAACATAGTATATCGTCTGTTTTGTACATTTCTTCCTATAAAAAACAAAAATTAAACCAATAAAACATGATAAATGGTCAAAACATAACCCGTGTCATCAAATACGATTAGTTTTAAATTCCTATAACAAAGAAGTTCTCAAAATTTCCTGATTTAAGCTCTCTTCCTTCTTTAGATTTGATCGACTTAAATGCTATTAAATGCGACACGACATTGCTATCTTTCTTTAAATTTTCACCGAAAACATTTATAAATCAATGGATAAATTATCCCTCCTTCACGTCTTAAGGCGATTGATGAGTATATATATTATGCCTTCCTAGTTTTAAGAAAATAAGAAAATTTAGGACCAGTTCTTTGTACCATGAATGACATTTCAACAAAAGAAAGAGATGTCAGTGTTTGAATCCTAAAGAAAGAGTGTTTCAAGAAGTCCTCAAAGCAATTTTCAAAAATTCAGGAAAACTTTACAATGGTTTAAATAACTGGCGTAATTAATTTAAGGGACAAATTGTCCTTTATAAACCAACGCTATGCCGCTGTCAATTAAATCCGTGTGTATATTTTTGTACTGCCTGTCCCTATAACCGTCCTGTTTTCTAAATATATATAAAAAAAACTTTTTTAAAAAATTTCATTTTCAAACATTGGTAATCCCCCCTTTCCCCTTAAAATTCCAAAAATTTAATCTTTAAGTAATACAGCCTATTCACCTTTCATCAGTTTCTTCTCGATTCAAAATATTTCCTTTCTGAAATATCCCTTTCTTAATACGTGTAAAAGCTTACTTCAAATATGATTACTAGGAATTTGAAAATACAGTAGTGTCGCATTCCCCCCCCCCCCTGAGGTTTTGTATGTAATATGGTGGGGGGAATGTATGCAAAATAGGGATAGGCACCGGTAACTTTGTTAATGAATTGCTATTGTCCATGAAGTATATGGAGATAACGCACATTATTAAAGCTCATAAGTCCAATCAAAAAATGAAAATTTGGAGCACAGCAAACACGGTATTCTAAAATATCAGAAGTGGGATCAGATGCCATAGAAAAGTAAGCATTCCTTGCCGACCGGTCACACCCGTCGTGTGCTTCTTGTTACGACTGGAAATTAACTGGAAAATCTGTCGACAACTCAGTACGTGAATAATGGCCTAATGATGAGTATAAAAAGGTATCTCGGCATTTGACATACTGTTGGTTTATATCTGCTGACAAGTCTTTTGTAGCTTCCTTTCAAAATACATAGCGAGATTCAGTAAATATTGTATCAAGCCTCTTTTTTTATTTCTCATTAAAAAAAAAATAAAGTAAACACGAAACTTCAGGAATATTGAGCAACGGTATATAATCAAGAAGTCGATACTGAAAAATTTCAAGGAGCTATTGGAAAATTTGAACTCACAATTTTTTTACCAAAATCAACAACATAAAAACTTACGAATTTACAACTTCATAAACAACCATTCCCCTTGAAAGTCCAGACTTTTGATGTCGTTGACAGCTGCTTATTTGAGTAAAACGAACCTCGTAAATTTATGTACCTTTACACTGTCCGTTTGCAAAATTAACTTGTTTAAATTCTGATTCTACTCTGAAGTTGATTTCAAAAAGATGCTTGAGTTTAGGGGATTGTCAATATCTGTTTGGGGTTTTTTTTGAGACCAGGTTTTTCTACGATCTGTTGGAATTCCCATTGGTTTCTGTAATTGCGCCATGCATGTAACAAGCAGCCCTATTTTTTGGAGGTCCGTGTTTGCTCTGTTCCTATTTTGTATTGTTAAATTTTGAGCTTGAATATTGTTCATTATCTCCATATATTTCATTAGATAAAGCAGAATTTGCTCAAACATCGACGTCGTATCGTCAATTAACAATTGTTTTTCCCATTCTTATGTCAATATGATATATCTCGGTGAGCTTGAAATAAAAGATACCACAAAGTCTGACACATCTGTTTCATATTTGGATATTTCCCTAGAAAAAGATGGAAATCTAACAAATCTAAAAACAAAGCTTAATAATAAACGCAATGACTTTAACCTTTCAATCGTCAACTACTATTACTTATGCAGCAATATACCTTCATCACCTGCATATATCTCGCAGGTGATTAGATACGCAAGAGCGTGCTCTACGTATGAACAATTTCTAAAACGAAGTAAGTTATTGACAAACAAGTTCATGAAACAATAATATCAACAGTCTCGTTTAAAGTCATCATTTCGTAAGTTCTATGGTCGATATAATGACCTTGTCAGCAAGTACAATCCATCATTAAGTCATATGCAGACTGACATTTTTTATACTATATCATTGTAAGTCCCCCTTATTTACACAATGAATTGTGTATGAAATGAAATGGCCTCTGATTCCACCCTTTTTTTAGTTTTAGAGGTTCGTGTTTGCTCTGATCCAAAATTTGTATTTAATTTTATGGACTTTTGATCTTGAATACTGTTTGCAGAGCAAACATGGACCTCTAAAACATCAGAGGTGGGATCAGTTGCCATGGAGGATTGAGCTTCCCCTGCTGACCGGTCACATTCGCCGTTTTCTCCTTGTCATGATCAGGAAATAACGGAAAAATCCGTCTTCAATTCAGTGTATAAATAATGGACTAACAATTAGTATTGAAAAACGTCAGTCAGCATTTGACTCAATGATAAATTGTATTTGCTAACAAGGTTTCTTTCATTATTTAAAAAAAGTAAAATATTACGTTAGTTAAAAGAGAAAGTATAAATTAAAATCAGGAACTATTACTATTTGTATATGAAGACTATGGATAGATGTACATGTATGTTTTAATTACTATATAAAATAAGAACCAATTCACAACTTTATTAAGGGGATGAAGGACCTTTAGCTGAAAAAATACCTGTCATTTAATTTTTTTCATATTTTGTATATATCTTATTTAGTATGTCACACATACTATAAAGCAGAGATATCAATAGGTTTCTAGACTTATTTCTGAGATATTGAGTGACAAATACCATACCCTACAGTGTCTGAGCGGAGTTTTTATTCTCCGTGTTTCTGGGTCCATTACTCGGTCGATAATTGAAATTTTTCACCATAGATAAAAAATATACCAGCGGAAATGTGTCTTTTAACATATTTTAGAGTATGAATAGGGTTAAAAATTCGAAAAAGCAAGATTTTTTTGTAACACCACTTCTGGAGACGGAAATTTACGACTTTTTTAGGACAACTTAAACCATAAAAAAATTAATTTGCAAATAATCCTATGATTCAATATTTGAAAATTTACGTCGAAGTTCAAGGTCGTCATTGTATTGATTAACTGTAAAAATATCGATTGGTGAAGCTGAGCTCAATATTGCACGGGGCAAAGTTAAACGAGTCATGATCATGAGAAAAACGTGTCATGTTTACATTTCTCGAGTACGGGAAAACCCAACTATGACGTCACACATTCCTGAAATAAGCGAAATAAGACAAACCCACAGAACTTTTCCGTCAACAACCATGTAAAAATATTTTTTGCGTTCTGAAATTTACAAAATACCCTACCATGTACATATTATGGCCCGTTTTTATGATTTTATACTACCCGTTTTTACCGTGTACTTACTGAACTAAGAGATCCACTTTGACGTCAAAGACGCACTGGACGCGCAGTGTAGGGAAACGGCAGAGTTGACTAATCTATTCCGTAATTTGATAATATTTGCAAGAAATTTTGAATGTTTTCAGATATTTTTATACTAGATGGTGAACGCAAACAAACAGACAAAAAAATTTTACAAGTACTGTGGTCTCAATCTCGTTTTGTACATATTTAATCAGAGATTATGACGTAATTCAACTGAGTCACGTGACCATACATCCTTCATCCCCTTAAGAAGGAGGATATGGCGATAACGAACAGTATTCAATATCAAAGTCCATGAAATAACAGATAACAGAATATTCCGTCACTCCGTGTACCTTATCAATACTGAAGGTAAATTGAGGTGAGATCGGTTAACATGGGATGTTTACCCCTCCCAAGTACCTGATCCCACGCTTGGATTTCCAGAAGTCCATGTTACGTGCCCTGTGTACACATCTCTGTTGCTTGTGTGGGGTTTGAATTCATTCTTTGTTCGTTTTCTTAATCTTTTTCAAATGAATTATATAAACAAATTTATAAACTGATTTCTTTAAATTACAGTAAGGAAGAAAATCCTATGTCAATTCTTTGTGTTTGGAAGAAATGAATAATTAGCGTGAATACCAAAATAGGAATCGTATTTCTTTTCAAAATATTCGTTGCGAGTATTAATGTCAATCAAGGAAATTTTTGTAAGATTTATTTTTCACAGTCATTCCGCCGTTTAATAGATTTACGTTTGTATTTTGTACTTCTATTCTTAAATTTAAGTCACTTTAATTTTTTTCCAGAATATCGTCAAAATCATGTGATAATGAATTTATGTACATGTAAAAATACATAGAGTGCAGCTAAAATTACAGAATATTAAATACACTGAAAAATTTCCCAATTCAATACACGGGAAAACCTAAAGCTTTGTACATGTCCGTAGTCGTTTACTTAAGACACCTGAAATCCGCGCCATATTAAATTCTGTCAGATTTTCTGGATCGAAAGTGTCCAACAAGTATTATTGTTGCAATGGGTTTCAATGGTTTAGGGTGTTTTAAAATATTGGTTTCAAAAATATTTTTAATTTGAAACACATGCTAATTGCGTTAGATAATCATCATACATACTAGATCAGTACAGTTATATAAAATATTTAAGCATTTTGGCAAAAAGAATGCAATCAATTACAAGGGATTTAAAGGTAAATGATATAAAAGTGTACGGTATACAATAAGACTTAATTTGCCAATTTATGTTACTTTACGAGTCTAAACAAACACTGATGGCTGACACCTATATTTATCGTAAACTCGAACAAACGTCACTTGTTTTTTTTTTATTTGTTTTCCCCCTTTTTCGACCCCCCTAGAAAAATACGCTCACATGGCATATAAGGATTTTACATACAGTAATATTGAATATATAGTAATGACATTACTGAAATGTACGAGTATAACCAATATAAAGTCGAGTTCCAGATATATATTATAAAAAATTACTTATACAAATTGAACTCCTAACAACGTTAGATATGTTACATACATCTATAATTAATTCTGAAAATAATTTCCTCTTCCTGATAAAGGAGGGATAAAAAGTAAATGCACATTTGTCTTATCTTAAGAAAGATTCAATTTAAAAAGACATTCTAACAAAAGGATCTTATCGTAAAACTCACAGCTTGATAGAGAGGGGGAAATTATCTTAGACAGAAATTTTCTTTACTCGTGTTTTTAATCCTAAGATTTAAGGTGATGTTTCTGGAATTTCTGGGGTCCGTGTTTCACGTCCTGTTCAAAAATTTTTTATTTACTAGTATATATGTTTTTAGATTGATCCTTGTTCGTCATTTTCATCTTTTTAATCTCATTAAAGTAACCTTTAAATGGGTTTATTTTATTTCTTATTAAAACGATGATTTAAATTTTAGTACAAATGATACAAATTTTTATATACTTTAAAAATCTCGAAAAGAACACCTTCAGAAGTAAAATGAATAAATTTAACCGCAATGTTTTATATTTTTTATTCACAATTTCATTTTTAAAAAATGGATTAAAAGTGTCAAAATTTTGTTTCGATTAGAAGAATGATTGCGGAAGGGTATAATTTTGATTATCATAGAAATTTATGATTTCATAATATATATTTTAGAAATTTCTTATTTGAACCATTAACAACCCAAATTGAACCAAAAAAATGTACCGATTTCGAAACCATTTTTTGTTTAATTCGCCCGTCCTTAATCAGCAGATATTGTAAATTTCTAACATTTGAAAAATTTATTTCATTTTAAATTCTAAACTAAAAAAAGAAAGGAAAAAAAAACTTCTATTTCATTGCCTTCCTTCACGAAGAAATTATTTTCTTTTAGTTTAATAATTTTTTTTAAATACAGAAAATGGCATAAAAGTAACACTTCTATGGGTATTTTCTTTTAGTTTAATAATTTTTTTTAAATACAGAAAATGGCATAAAAGTAACACTTCTATGGGTATATAAATGAATAAATTTAACCGCAATGTTTTATATTTTTTATTCACAATTTCATTTTTAAAAAATGGATTAAAAGTGTCAAAATTTTGTTTCGATTAGAAGAATGATTGCGGAAGGGTATAATTTTGATTATCATAGACAATTTATGATTTCATAATATATATTTTAGAAATTTCTTATTTGAACCATTAACAACCCAAATTGAACCAAAAAAATGTACCGATTTCGAAACCATTTTTTGTTTAATTCGCCCGTCCTTAATCAGCAGATATTGTAAATTTCTAACATTTGAAAAATTTATTTCATTTTAAATTCTAAACTAAAAAAAGAAAGGAAAAAAAAAACTTCTATTTCATTGCCTTCCTTCACGAAGAAATTATTTTCTTTTAGTTTAATAATTTTTTTTAAATACAGAAAATGGCATAAAAGTAACACTTCTATGGGTATTTTCTTTTAGTTTAATAATTTTTTTTAAATACAGAAAATGGCATAAAAGTAACACTTCTATGGGTATATAAATGAATAAATTTAACCGCAATGTTTTATATTTTTTATTCACAATTTCATTTTTAAAAAATGGATTAAAAGTGTCAAAATTTTGTTTCGATTAGAAGAATGATTGCGGAAGGGTATAATTTTGATTATCATAGACAATTTATGATTTCATAATATATATTTTAGAAATTTCTTATTTGAACCATTAACAACCCAAATTGAACCAAAAAAATGTACCGATTTCGAAACCATTTTTTGTTTAATTCGCCCGTCCTTAATCAGCAGATATTGTAAATTTCTAACATTTGAAAAATTTATTTCATTTTAAATTCTAAACTAAAAAAAGAAAGGAAAAAAAAACTTCTATTTCATTGCCTTCCTTCACGAAGAAATTATTTTCTTTTAGTTTAATAATTTTTTTTAAATACAGAAAATGGCATAAAAGTAACACTTCTATGGGTATTTTCTTCTCCTTTAGGATAATTGAAAAAGAATTAAGAATGAAATCATTACTTACGCTTCGATTGTCTCTGTTTGTAATATTACAAGCAAAACAAGAAGCACCGACAGTGTTGTAAATACAGTTGACCTATCCATTTCCATTCGTCCAGCAACCGGCGAAGATTTTCTTTTATATAACACAAAACAAGGAAGTTTTTCTATCAATCCCTGGTCACGGCAATTCTTTTCTCTATACTGTTGAATATATTTTAATAAAATATAGACTTGGAGCGATCTGATATTATGATTTGATCCAGGATACCTAATTATTACTTCGTATGAATATAATTTTTACATGTATATGCATTCATTATCTCTTGCTATGTGCTATGGTGGTCGAAAGGGTGTGACATTGCCTCAATTCTGTATTTTTAAGATAAGGAACTACGAGTAGTATAAGGGGCCTAGCCGGCTGGGTCAACTGAGTGCACTTTTTATGCAAATGAGGTTCAAAATGGAGGATTCTGATTGGTGATGGGGATAGGTGGGTCAACTGAGTGGAGTTCTAACCCTAACCCCTTATCCCCTAACCCTAACCCTAACCCTAGCCCTAACCCTAACCCTAACCCTAACCCTAACTAACCCTAACCCCTACCCCTAACTAACCCTAACCCCTAACCCTAACCCCTAACCCCCTAACTAACCCTATCCCCCTAACTAACCCTAACCTATTCCCCTTAAATACTGGAGTTGTTTACACAGTGTTTTTACATTGGTACGTAGGTACTACGTTTTTTGTTTATGGACACAGGTAAATACTTGGCAGCGACTCAAATCCGTGATTATGACGTCACGCTTCACAGTCTAGACGGTCTAGCCTAACCGGTTCAAACTGGTTTTAGTGAAAACAAGAACACAGATTTTGATTTTTTTCCAATTTTTATTCACAATGAAAAAATACATACAATTTACATTTTCTGTTTCTTCTGTGCCTTTTCAGGGATCTGTAATCAATCACTGTGTTATACCCCAAATTTTACAATAAAAATTAAAGACATTACTAAAGTACATACGAGCATTCAGGTAGTAGGCGTGACTTGGGTGCCATAACCTTCTCTTTTTCATGTCCTTGAGCAAATCCTGAAAACAGTCTTCTGAATTTCTGAACCAGTAACTTCCATCCAGATTACCAGGAACACCCTCGATTGTCCACTTGTATTGAGGACCACCAGGAACAGCCCAAAATGGGTACTTGGATTCAGGACCACCAATTATTCCCTCAATATAGCTGAAGACTAGGTTTCTTCTCTTAGGACAATCTGCAGCATGAATTTTTTGTCTTGTTTCCAACCATACTCTTGGGGTCATTTCTTCTTCTTCATTAGGTGATTCTGTGGAATGAATTTTAAAATTCATGAAATCCTGTATGGCTTCTTCTGTGGTTTTCATCCAAGGTCCCTTCTTATCAATACCATATCCGAATATCTCAATATACCAACGATGCTCCGTTTTCTCTGTCATATTTTCCTCTGCCATATTTTACCTGTGTTCACTTCCTAGTAATCACACAGACTGATCCTCGATATCCAGCTCTGGTTTATATACCTTTACTGTAAGGGCCGTGTGCAAAAAATACGTTTTACCTACGTTTTTTTTTTATGCTGACTACACAGGTAAATACTTGGCAGCGATTCAAGTCAGGGCGGTGTGCAAAAATACGTTTTACCTACGTTTTCTTATATATATACCTGTTTGCATCCTCTATAAAGTGCCGTGTGCAAAAA